CTGATCCCACGCACCTGGTTCAAACTAGAGCTCGTAGTGGCGGCCGGGAGCTCCCACAGTTAGAGCATGGTTCCTTTTCATGCATGTCTTAGCCCAATTCGGTCCAAGTTCCCCTGGTATTAAAGCGATGGGATATAAAACCATTGGAACTAAAGCACTCGCTCCGCCGACAGACTGATGCATCACTGCCACGGATGACTGTCTCCACAAGATCACATCACACCCGTCCGTGACTGTCTGCAGCCACTCCGCACACGTCGGTCCCGCCCTCGACCGAACCCGAATCATACCTCTCGGATGAGATGCGAATACGAGTACAACTCTGCCCTAGGCCACAACGGCTTTGACCTATACGACTGCTTGGCCACCTAAACGACCATTTTGATTCAACTCGGCTCTTATCGTACTACCGCTTGGCAGAGCAAGTCTTGGAATCCGACAAGCAGCCTCGGGCTCAAGAGCTTGATTTCCGACTACGCTGCCACTTGGAAGAAATGTTAAGTGAATAGGCGACGTCACCTCCCATCCGGAACGAGGCTCTCCGGGACGAGACACTCATCGTAGCCCGCTGCCTGGTCGAGTTATCCCGACCTCAGGTGGGTAGTGTTGCTAGCCTGAAATACGCACGGCATGTGTTTTGAATTTAAAAAAGGAGGTTTCCCACCTCAATAGGCAAAGCTGCAAGAACCTAGCGCGAAACTTCTTGGTACATGTCTTGGTTCTAAAAGCAGCCTCTCGTTCAGGTCATTCTTCTGTTTAACTCATTATGGCAGACAACCAACACAACCATCCGGTCGAACCAGCCAAAATCGATTCACACACTGAGCAACAAGAGTCTCCAGCACGCCCAGAAACAAGCAACTCAGATCAAACCTTGCCTGTTTCTAAAGAGCCTGAAAATTCGGAAATCGTCCAGCCCAATAACGACCCGTCAAGTGCTGAAAGCTCGTCGTCGGCGCCTGCTGCAAGTAGCAGTGACTTCGGACAGCGCCTAGAAGCTATTTTGGACGAGTCAGACATGCTGTCTTCCGTTTCTGAAGATGAGCCGCAAGAGGAACTTCCACCAACGTACCAAAATGCAGTGGCCTCAAGCCCATCCTCGGCGCAAAAGGCAGACGTAGGAGATTGGAAGCATAACCCCGCGACAGAAGCTCAGCCGACATCGCAAGAAAGAACCGGGGACTTGGCAATCTTGCCATCGGACTCGCCAGCTCGTGATCAGGGGGAAGGGGGTGAACTGACGTCAGAAAACGCCAACCCTCCAACTCGACAGGCCACCGAATCAAATCAAGAGCGCAATACAAATCACGATAGCTGGCAGTCGGCACGAAGCCACAATAGCGTCCACACGGAGCCTTCTACATCAACATTTGCCGAAAAGTCCACCAAAGACTTGGAATCTGGGGTAATCGAGCCCATTCACGAAACAGAGACTTCCGCAAATGACAAGGATCCTTTCGTCGTGGACTGGGAGCCGAATGATTCGGAAAACCCTCAGAACTGGCCAGACAAGAGGAAGTGGAGCGTCATCGGTATGATTTCGTTCATGACATTCTTAACGTAAGCTCTCCATCCATTAAGGAAGACGGCTGCTAATCTATTTCCGCAGACCCTTGGCATCTTCCATGTTCGCACCAGGGGTACCCGACGTGATGAAAGAGTTTGGAAACACATCCAACACCATGGCGACGTTCGTCGTTTCCGTATTCGTTTTGGGCTTCGCAGCGGGCCCGCCGGTTGTGGCGCCCCTCAGCGAAATGTACGGCCGCAACCCTGTTTACCACGCGACCAATATCGGCTTCACGATTTTCAATATTCTATGTGCGCGCGCAGACAGCATGGGCGCCCTTGTAGCATACCGATTCTGCGCCGGTGTCGCGGGTGTTGGTTCCGTCACCAACGGCGGCGGCTCCATCTCTGATATGATGCCGCCAGAAAGGCGAGGTGCTGCCATGGCGATCTGGGCCATGGGCCCGCTCATTGGACCCACCATCGGGCCCATTGCTGGTGGTTATTTGATCGAAGCAAAGGGTTGGAGATGGGTGTTTTGGATCATTACCATCGCGGTAGGTCACCCCCAACTTGTTTACCCCGATATCAACCCCCTTTCGCCGAATGTGTATCTGACGACCTTGGGCGCAGTCTGGCATCGCTACTGTGGTCGCATACTTTGTTCTCCGCGAAACATACCCGCCTTTGCTCCTTGAACGCCGCGCAGAGTGTCTGCGTAAAGCCACGGCCGACCCACGGCACACCTCTGCACTGGCCACGAATCAAACAACGAAGCAATTGTGGCGTAGCACCTCAATCCGCCCCGCACGCATGGCCATCATCTCGCCCGTTCTTGGCTTCATGTGTGTCTATACGGCTCTCACCTACGGCATCCTGTACATCCTCTTCACCACCTTCACCTTTGTCTTCGAGGGGCAGTATGGCTTTAGCACGTCCTCAGCCGGACTGTCGTACATTGGCAGCGGTCTTGGATCCTTGCTCGGGTTGGCAGCTGTAGGCAAAGCATCCGACGGCATCTTGAAGCGGAAGATGGCAGCCGGTGTCGCCATCAGACCGGAAGACAGGCTGGATCTGCGCATCACCGTACCAGCCAGTCTATTGCTGCCAGCCGGCTTATTCATCTACGGCTGGAGCGCAGACAAGAAGACTCATTGGATCGTGCCCATGTTCGGCACCGCTGTCGCCAGCATGGGCATGATTGTCGTCTTCATCTGCATCCAGACGTACCTCGTCGACGCCTTTACCCGCTACGCTGCCAGCGCAAATGCCGCGAACACTGTTCTCCGCTGCATCCTTGGTGCCCTGCTTCCCCTCTGTGGCCTTGATATGTACGACGCCATGGGTCTAGGATGGGGGAATACGCTGTTGGGGTTTTTGGCGCTCGCGCTGGCGCCCGTTCTCTGGTGGTTTTATGGATGGGGCGAGAAGGTGCGGACAGACAAGCGCTTCCAGAGAGAGTGGTAGCAAAAAGCCGGGGAATGTGGAAGAAATGCGAAAAGATGTTGAGTGAATGTGGTATTGGAGACAAATTTCTTTGCCTGTTTGTCCTAGAGAATTACGACGTCATGTGGACCTTCCTTGATCCGTCTCTTTTAGTCTCCCTCTCTCCATCCCTGCGACATGCTTTGTATGAAAGTGTGAGGCTTAGTAGCCAACTGGGCAAATCCCAAGAAAAGTGCTGTAGCGTTCATATTTTGAATGTGGCTAGGAATCCCCTTAGTCGTCAGTCCATGAAGTTCTTTAATCGGAGTTAACATGCATTTCAACAACTTCAGTGCCAAAGACGGCGAGAGCAGTCGCAGTGTGTGCTATGAGTTTTGCTGCTAGGTCCAGGGAACTTCTTGGCCTAGAGCATGGAATGACTGAAGCAACTCGATTCACTGGACCTGGAAGTCGCGACTGCCTGCTTCGACGTGCTTTCAGCCAAACCATCTTTCCCTCTCACAATTCTTGGATCATGACCAGCCATCATTCTTTGCTCATCTGTTTCTATCACTGACTGTCTCTCGCTTTCTGGCACATTCTTGATTTGATATCAGTAAGTCTTCGATGCGTACGCTGCTCTCAAGCTTACCTTGCTTATGAAAAGCAGCAATGTCACCAAAGAATTCGCCATCACCGGCCGCATCATCCTCCTCGTCTCCCCCTCCGTCTCCGCAGCGCAATCCACAAACTTCGTCGGTGAGCATAGCAACTCAACATCATTGCTTCTCTACTTCAGCTCACCCACCGGACCAGGAACCAAGCTTTGCGACGTTGGAAACCACAAAGGCTTACATCCACCAATATGTGCACGCTCCGAGGCGTGTGCCTAGGGAACCTAAGCCTCGCAAGCGTGTGATAAATCTCGTTAATTATCTCTTCGAGCTCGATGACAGACTCTATGAGTCTGAAATTAGCGAGTCAGCCTTTTCGAATACAATCGCGGCTCGTTACGTGAAGTTGCACAAAGAGATCTTCGTCTACATCCTTGAGAATTGTGGACTTGAAGAGGACACCGACATATCCTTGGAGAGTCTATTGCGTCAGGATCAAGTTTCAGCATCCAACACGAAGCCGAGCAACGAGGAAGGAAGCCCGGAGACCGAAAAGGTACCCAAAACTGTCCCAGCTGAAGCCACAGACTCGAGAAACGGATCGATTATCCGACAGGATGATCCCTCCCAGTTGGCGCTTCCGAATCCCGGAGGAATTTCGCTTGAATACAACAAGACGATGATGAGCAGATTGAAGAGGATCAGTAGCAGATTGGTCAGAGTCAAGGGCAAAGGGTCAGATACTCCCAAAACCAAGAAGAAAACTTCGAGTGGCTCGAAGTTTGTTCTTCGGAGAAAGGTCAAATCTATCATTGCTGGTCTCAACAAGGTCTCACGTCCCGGTGGCAAATGTATGGGAAAGCACTGTCCTGCTGAGTACCCAAAGACGCTGTGTTTGGTGTGCCTGGGTCTGGACAGGGTGTCAGCCTTTTGCTCGCAGCTCTGCCTTGAGAGAAATTGGGTAAGCTTTTAGAGACCTTCCCCGGGGCGAAATTGAGAGAACTGATTGTGGTTTCAGGATGAGCATAAAATCCTCCACAAGACGGATGAGAATCGTGTCGATGAGTTAGTTGATGGAGAAGCTTGATTGAGGTGGTAAGGCTTGCGGCCCTTCTTGATCTTTCTCAATTGTGTCGCTGGGACGGTTATGCTGTAATGATGCATTCATTTTGGACGAGGTTGGGCGGACTTGGTCTTCCAATGAAGCCAAGGGCGAGAAACAATGCGCTGAATGCAGCTCGCGCCTCACACATTGGTATCTCAAACCAGCCAATTGCTTAATTGTATCTTTGACTCTACAATTGAAGAGCATCAATTGTGAATGTGACCGCAGTCCGGTTGACCTGCACTCTTGAGCTTCTAGTTTTGTCTGTCCCCTGAATCACAGCTGGCACGGATGCGTCCAAAAACCAAGGCAACATAAGCAAAAAGTCTGAAGTGCAAAAGAGAGACTTCCATCGCCGAGAATCGAACTCGGGCCTCCAGACTCTGCAGAAGACCACCGCTAACGAAGCAATCGGGTCGCAACTGCTTCTCCGGGTAGGAAAGCTATTGCACCTCAATCGCTTCGTCTGCATGCCTTGTTTGGTCTGGTGTGCTACCAACTGCACCACGATGGATTTTGTTGAAAATGAACTGGCCGTTTTGGGTTTTATTGATATTAGAAGGGACCATGCGTGGCCCAAAAGTTGAGTAGATGCGGTTTGTTGCCATGAACAGACTTTTGCCGGTACTAGGTAATTGGACGACGGGAGGACCTCTAGAAATTGCGAAGCGCTGGCCAAGCTACAGGGCTGGAGGGTTGGGGCATTTCGCATCAAGCGGCGCGGTAGCTCGTCTTTTGCGGTCTGGCGTGCGAATAGTTGCACAAGGATGGACGCTTTTTGAAATTGGACTAAGGAGAGTCAGGCAGCAGTCTGCAAAATGTTTTGAATGAGCAACTGGCTCCAAAGAGCGCGAGATGTGTCCGTTAGTAGTTTCAAACTGCCGCTCCCTTTCCAACAAACAACCCATTGTGGTGTAGTGGTAGCACGCCAGACTTTGCAACGAACCCCGGTGTCACTCTTGGCCAGGCCGAGCTCAATAAATGTCGTCGGGCCCGCAAAAACGAAATACCACCTTCAGGTGGAAAACACCTAAGCCTTGAAAGGCTTGATTCAGTCAGCTACAGCTGACAGCCACCGGAGAGTGCCCGGGTGTGAGACCACTACAGGATAGTGGCGGCCACTAGCTACAAAGCAGTGGGACTTGGGTTAACGGGAGCGCTGGAGTGACCTGGCTGGCTGGCTCTGCAAAGTCTGGAGATCCGAAGTTCAAATCTCGGCAATGGAAATTCTTTTTTTGCTCGGCTGGGGCACTCTCTTTGCCGCTGCACCCAACGGGTGGTGTTTGGAAGGAAGGAAGGGGCGGGTTGGCTGCTTCCAAGAGTGTAAGTGATGAAAGAAATTCAACTTGAGCTCAGCTTCAAGTCATCGCGCCCTCAGAGGTAGGCGCTTGAATGCTCCTTGTAACTATCCACTAAGAGAAAAAATTCTCTCTATATCAAAAGTAGCAAGCGCTTGAGCACTCCACGTCTCTACGTATTCTAACTTGGTGACAAAATTCTTGGATTGGCAATTTCTTTCATCACCCACTGTGTAGCTGAAATGGTGACATGTGCAAGGAGCAATGTTGATAATGATAAGAGAGCGGATATGATGCATCAAGTCCTCTGCTATAGGCATAGGGAGCACTCGGACGCATATGTACCAACTTGTTCAAAGTGTTCGAACCAACTTGCTTCGATACTTCAACGCCACAGTAGGTGAGGAAAGAAATTCAACCTAGACCCAGCTTCGTGTCGTCGTCGCACCTTCGGCCGCAAGTGCTTAAATGCTCCCTGTGACTACTTATCAAGAGAAAAATGAAGGTGTCAAGCGCTTGAGAACTTCACATCTCTATGTATTTTGACTTGGTGACAGAGATTCTTGGATTGGAAATTTCCCTCATCACCTACTGTGATGCGCTCAGACAAAGGCGGGATCAAATGATCAAACTCTTCCTAAATCCTAAGGAGGACAAATTTCAAAGATTCAAGAAAAATAATGTCAGTCTTCACGACCTCTACAAAGCAGACAGGTAGCCTCAGGACCGCACTCCTTTCTACCTACCTGACAAGACGATCACCACCAACCCTTCCAAAAGCAGTAACAGCACTAACCTCATTGAGTAGTCATCCATCAGTCTTGTCCGGACAACAAAAAATCTGCTAAAGCTCATCTCGTACCACGTCGTCCAAAGTTATGCGCGCACCTGTCTGATTCGTCGCGGCATCTTTGCGGTGCTTTCACAATTGGCCGAGTCGCTTACCACGTCGACCAAAGGGGCAATCTTTTGCTCGCTTCGTGCCGGATTTCAGGACCTTTTGGGTGGTCCGTGCGTGATGGGATGGGCAAGGGAGGACGATGGAATGGATGAATGGTTTGGCAATGAGTGGCTGAAGAGTCGTCTTCATTGATTAGTTTTGCGTGGCTTTGTGCTGGATTTTCTGAGGTAATAATGAGTGTGATGAGGTGAGACGGCGAGCAGTCGTAGAGGAAGAAGGCAGTATTGCAAGCTTCTGATGCGAGGACCGGCCTAGCTCTTGCCATGGCGGACTGCACTGCAGGATTGTTCTCGCGAGCGACGAGGTGCCATGTAACGCTGCCTAGCTGGAGACAGCGAGCAATGGGAAAGCAAGCGGAAGCAGCCCATTTACCGCACAGCGGTACCGGTCAGGGAGAGGGGAGAAAAAGCAAGGCGCCCGAACACGATGGCCATGGCACGAATGCTGCAGTGATGTGGGGCTTCTGAGGTAGGTAGTGCGACAGCGACACACGTAACGCAAAGAAAAGAAGAGAAAGGGGGGGCATCGATTCACGCCACGCGGCGACGACAGCAGGGGAGGAGAGTGAGTCGGGGCCGCAGGTCAGTTGGAAATTCAAGTTTGCAGACGCAACAGTTGCCTCGGCGAGCTGACGATCGAGAGAAGAATGACGAATGGAAGGGAAAATAAAGGATGAATTGGCTAATTGCGAGACTGACAATTAGAAAAAAGGGCATATTGTGCGAAAGGGGCCGAAAGTTAGATTTGGAAGGTAGAATGTTGGTGGACATTAAATAAAAAACATGTGAAGACAGCCCTACCAATGTGGTACCCACTCCGAGCAACGAGCCCGGGACTCTGTCAAGGCGCTTCGTCAGCTGCGTCGTGGCTTTGCTGCTGGCACCCAGTGGGCGGCCGCTGGCAGGGCGTGTAGAATGGCATCCATGATGGTAGGGCGGAGCGCGTGAGCGCGTGCTTGCGTGCGCAAGTGTACCACTGTAGCCAACCACAAGAGATGCAAAAGGTTTCTTTTCCCAGGTCCCCACTCTTTTTGTTCTTGAAGAGGTATATGGCTTTCTCACCTCAGGCCCACGTGTCGACCAGCAAGTCGCCCGACCGGGAAAGGCTGAAACCCGTCACGTCGTCCAAACCAACTTGTCGCTACGTGCGAACTTGACTCGTCGCGGACGGTGACTTTACCTTTTCCGCCGCCTTGCATGGTGCTAGGCCCTTTTGGGCGCCGACGTCACTTTTGACCTGGAAGCCTTCCGTGACGGGAATGGCAGAACGAGCGAGGCTTCGTTTGTGATGGTGACAGCGCAGCCGACAGCGACTTGAGGATAATCCGGGCCGGTTGTCCGCTATAAGTATGGGAAATGCCAAGGGCTGTGTGTGCAACCTGAGGATAATGCCGAGCCAAAATGGTGACTAAAAGACGTGGTGGGGCCAGATGTAGCGTCCCTGTGCGGGTAGATCGGGCTGGTACACAAGTACATCACGTAGGGCTCCCAATATACATGGACAAAAGGAGAAGAAGCCAGGTTTCTTGGTGTGGGGAAGTGCTGCGAGTAAGCATTCGAGCTGGCAGCCGAACAAGACCTACAGGTACGAGTTGCCGCTGTGAGTAAGCGCATGCGTTCGCTCTACGTACCTGTAAGCAAGAGGTCACCCACGCTCAGGGTCGCGTCGCCGCGGGCCGCCATAAGGTAGCATCAGATCTGACTGCGTAGTCCAAGAAGGAATGCGGCGCCGTGGCACAGGCGCCTTCCCCAGAGACCGCTAAACCGCATTTGCCGAAGCCACCAAGGCTTGTGGGAATGTGCAAGGCTGAGAATAGGTGAGGGGAAACTTCCCACTCATGACGGAGGAGGCGAGAAAGCCGCGGTAGTTTGGTGGGGTCCTAGTTTCGTTGTTCTTGTGATGAGGAGGTCGACTATTGTCATCTTCCCCCGCTCCATAGCCTTGAGCGACAATGTGGTGACTAGCGCTGTTGGTGGAGGCCGCGAGCGACCAGTCGCATCGAGTGCCGTTGACGCTGCGGCGGTGGCAAGGGATTCTGCGAGCAAAAAGGCAGGAGGCAACGCACAAGGCAAACCAACGAAGGATTGAGAAAAATCAAGAAGCTGTCGTGGGACGGTGAGTGGATAAAGCGACATTAGCCGTCAAAGAGACAAGTCGCGTGGCCTTCTGTCTGCAAGCATCAAGATGACGACAAGCGAGTGAAGATGGAAAGAGAAGGTGGGCACGAGACAGAAATCGAGGGTTGAGGTTGAATTAGGCCGTCTGAGAGTGGGCCGGTACCAACCCACCGGTCAAAAATCTGGGGAAAACGGCTGCGTCCCGGGATCGACCTAACCTTGACCGGACCTCGCTCGACCTTGGCTCCGTCTTCGGTCACGATCATGAGCAGCTTTCGCTGTGCCAGTCAATCAAATGGGTAAACGAACGAGGTCCATTTTTGTTCGTAATATGTGCAGAGGCTCGCTTTTCACTGTATACAGGGGTATGAAATGGACGGGTCATGACTCGTAAACGACTGCCTCAGCAGCGTGCTAGCGCTGTGTTGATCGCAAACACCCAAGCCTTTGCACCGCATCTCTGCATGCGTTTTCTACCCGCAGGTAGACCCAATAGTGCGGCCCTCCAACGTTGGGAACACACCAGCGTCAATCAATGCGAAAAGATCCCACTCGGCCGCGCCCTCGGTCTTGAAGTTCCACCAAAACCATCCCTGGGTCTTGTACTCCCACACGTCCAGCTGGGCGTTGATGTAGTTGGTCGTGGCAGTCTTCATGTCGTCGCTCCATTGGCTGATGTCATTCTTCTCTGCGCAGGAGCCGACGTAGCTGGAGCCCGAGTACGTCCCGTCGTATCGTGCACCGATGCCAAAGCCATTCAGGTATGTGGCGCAGTCCGTCATGGCACCGGTCCACTCGCCCACAACAACAAACTTGTCGAAGCCCTCGCCCCATCCTTGGGCATTGCTGCACACATATGAGTTGTGCTCATCCGCAGACATGGCGACGAGCGAGTCGGTAAAGACTTGGTACTCATGGTGGTCAACCACTGCGCCATCAGTGCCAGAGCCAGTGAGAACTCCATTCCATTCGGATGGATTGACAAAGCCGTCATGAATAATCACCATCGCCTCACTGCCGTCGACTCCGCGGACCGTGCTGAAGCCGTTCTCGTAGTAGGCCTTGGTTGCATCCATTCCACCCTCGAGGTTGGACATGAGCGGCTCGTTGAGGAGTTGAATGCCCTTGACGACGTCCG